AAGTCTCATGAAACATCTCTCCATACTGCCAATACTGATCAAAATGTGTCTACACCACTCATTGTTATTGAAGAAGGCTCACTTACATGTCAAGACACGAGAGTGCTGCTTTGATCCAATAAAAGATCAGTTGGTACAAGTAGATGCTTCCAATGTTCAACAACCTACACATGTCCGACACACTTTAGACCAATCCACTAATCAGATGAGTCAGTCTTCATATGAGGAATAACAGGTCTATTCCAGGAGGGAGAAGAAGAATGGAGGCTGACTCCCGCTTGAGAACAAACTGCAATGACAATCATCTTACTAATTTGTTAGTTGGCTCCTTTCTTAGAACTAGAGGCAGAGGCAGAGCAAAATTGGGTCGCTCTCTAGCTACCTGATACTACGTGTTTTGACACTTTTAGTTTTTTGGATCTCATTTTGTATTTTCTTGCTTTTCTGGAACCATTTCATGTGGTGTTTACTTTGTGGGTAGAGTGTCATGGTTGAGACCTCTCATACAATCTATCTGTATCTTTCTTTTTTTTAATATATTAGACATCAGCAGCAGGCTCTGCTAGGGTTTCACCCGATGACGATTCCCGACGTTGAAACTATCAACTTCACTCCATTTTTTCGTCGTCTCCCACGACGACGATTTCGCTTCGTCGGTTTCGTTAGGGTTGCTCACACGTCGCCCTACCAGTCAACGACATTCCTTCGTACGTTCTCAGATCGTCTCTCCAGCACAACTACGTCTATCTACTAGCCTTATCCGGAGACGACGAGGTCTTTCTGCTTGCACCCAACCTTCTCCCTTTTCGATTGCCTCGTCTGGTCACAGTTTGACGCGGCTCGCCGCGCCGCTCTAGAATTTTGCAGTGGTCATCTTGTCTGGTAGAGATGGTCTCGACGTTCCGTTCCTATGTCACTGCCCTTGCCAACAACAATCTTAATCTTAGTCATGCCCCTATTTCAGGTTCAGAATCTGGTTTTGGTATCGGTAAGTTTTGCATTGTTCCACAATCCTTCCACGAGGCTCTTAAAGGTGGTGGTGATTACACCTTAGTAAAAAATATGAAACCTGTTCTTTTTCTCTCTGAGGTTGAAACTAATACTCTTGCGTCTTCTTGGCGTTTTGCTCTAGTAGGGAAATTCTTCTATGGTCACCGTAAACTTGATATAATTCAGAAAGATTTTGATGTTATGAAGCTATCGGGTAGTTGGAATATTGGCTAACTTAACGATCGATATATACTTATTCAGTTATCTCACGATGCGGGTAATCAAAATTGACAACCATTTTATGAAAATCCTGAAGTGAACTGTCGACTTTGATCAAAAAGCAGAGTCTCCTATCTTTCTAGTTTGGATAATGTTTCCGAGGTTAAAACTACACCTGTTCAACTTGAAAATTCTCTACTCCTTAACAACTACTTACAGTAAGCCTCTCAAAGCTGATAGTCATACGTTTGTTGTGACCAGACCCTTTGTGACTTATGTATTAGTTAAAAGAGATATCACCCAACCAGCTCTGGATGAGATATGAATTTGATCCACTCACAACGAGTATTGACAAAAGGTTGAAATAGAATCACACCCTCCTTATCGCTCACATTGTAGTATGTTTGGCCACAGTTCTACTATTTTTTATCGCTTGCATCCTCAATCGCTTGCATCCTCATCTAAGGTTGGATATTGCTAAAAATCAGCAACCTGTTCAAAAATTTCGTTCAAAAATCTACTCATACTGAATTGTGGGTGGACGTCTTGCCACCTTTCATCCCCTGCTGAGGAGGTTGTCGGTCAACTTTTTTTCGATTAATAGATTTATTTGAAAATATGAAAGAAAATAATTTTTGAGATTTAATTTAAATATAAAAGATATATAGTTTGAGTTTTAAAAGTAGTATGTTTTAATT